TACTTCCAGAACTGAAGCCCTTGCAGGGCTTTTTGATTCTGTTTGATTAGTTCCCAGATTATTTCATTGAGCTCGGCTCATATGCAGGCTACCCAGCCAGAGAGGGATACGTTGCAGGAATACCCAGCAGCTCCTCCCCTCATTCATTTACCTTCCTCCATTTGAAACTCCTAAAGTCCCCCAGTCCAGGATGCAGACCTGCCCAGCTGAACCTAGCGGGGGGAAAAGAGGTCAGCGTCACTGCTGTCATTGACAGTGATCGTGTGCCATATTTACAGTTCGGCTGGTGTGCAGCTCCTCAGCCACAGTCCCACCCTCAAAGTGCTTATAAATCCCAGGACCGAAGCAGCTCACGGTTCAAAGGGCGCCTAGCGTGCCCTCATCATCCAGGGGCTTCTGTATCACACAGTAAAAAAAAAAAAAAAAGAAAGAGAATATGTGAGCCAACAGCGTATTTATTCGGAAAACAAATGTTTTCCAGCTTCACGATCCCAAGAGTTTCTCCAGACAATTATAAATACTCCATCTTTATTAGTAGGAGCAGGAGATAAATGACTTGCAGCCCAGACACTGCTCCAGAGAGACATACTGGGAATTTCCAATTTCCATAAAAGTTGTTCTCCAGAAGTCTACTTTCACATCATTTATTTTGAGCTTGGGGCGCAGTTCCCTAGAGGGAAAGTGGTATGTAGTAATCACAGCTAACATTTTAATAAGTGTTTTTGTTTACTGGGCACTTGGAGAGGGTAATGTAGCACAAGGCTGTGCAGCCAGCCAGCGCTTCCCAGGCAGGTCTGTCCTGAGCAAGTTATTGACCTCACTGGCCTACAGGGAATTTTCCAATGGGGATGATAATCCCAGCCTCCCGGGGTGGTTGTGAGTCAGTCCAGTGCCAGGTGCTGCTCAGAACTCTCCGCCTCCTACCCCTGCCATGGTTCTGAGAACCAGGATGCAGAGCAGCTGGGACCAGGCCATCACCATGGCTCACGCCACCTTGACTTCCCCATCTCCCCACATGCCACTCCTGACCCCCTGCCAGCTACATGCAGTGGGAATGGGTGAAGAACAAACTCCCCTGCAGTAAGAGAATGTTATCTCCATTTTCAAAGACCCATTTTGTAAAGGAACCAGATCTACTGTACGATCCCTCTTGCACTGTGACCCAGGCACTGCGCTCATGTAAATCCTCACAGCGACGGGAAGCTCACAGCGGCTGGAGTCGGGGTCTGAGTCTGGAGGGGCTGAGTGTGAATCGAACCTTTTCTCCCACTGCCTCTTGCCTGCTTGCTTTCTTCCAAGGCAGCTTTAATCTAGTGGCAGCACAGATTACTGATTGGAAAGCAAATCAGGTTCTCTACTGTCTATTCCTGTCAAATCTAAATCTTTGTCCCATTCCACTACCTGTAAACCTTTCTTATTAAAACCTGTGGCTCGAGCATTGAGGTGAGAAGGGGATTCTTCATTCCCTCGACTGTGGAGGGGGATTCAGTGAGTTAGCCCTTAATCCCTCTCTCTGGTGGCCAAGCTGAATTCATCTTTGTACCATTTCACCCTAAAAGGGGTCAAATTTGAAGTCAGATATTCTTGAATATTTAAAACCTTGACTGACTCTGATCACAAAGGCCCTGGACGACGCTCTGGCTGCAAGGACATGGAGAGTGAAGGTTTTGAAAATCACATTGAAGACCAGAGTTTTTTATGTGGATGTATGTGGTCAGCTAGAGACAGGCCAGTCTCAGCCAACCCTAGGATCCATTTACCAAAGAACTGACAGGGCCTAGCAAAATGCCTGGACTCACTTCCCTAAATGTTGAAACCTTTAGCATTGAAGGAAGGGTGAGAGAGGAATCCCAGACTATGATTTGGGGTAATGTGGGGAGAGAAAAGAAGACAAGCTGGGGCAGGGTTTGATGCAGTTTTGCAAAACCAAAGATTTTATGCTGTGACACCTGAAGTGCGTCCTTGGCAACCAGGGCTTGCTTGCTAGAATTCCTCACCTCACTTTCCAGCACCCTTTACCTGGTATTTCCAAGAGAGTGCATTTAGGTTTTTTTTTTCTTATTTCAAAGAAAGGATAGCAGAAACAATGGGGAAACCAGAAAATGAATTTTTATAACAAATAAAAAGTTATGTGATTTTCAAAGGCCACCATAAATCTTCTCTTTCTGATCCTTTTTATTCTCTTTACCTTTTTACCCTTGTGAAAGTCAACTTTTAGAAAAATAATTGAATGAAATAATTTAAGTGAGAAAATGACTCAAAATTGCTCATTTCGTCCTCTCAAAATGGAGGTGGCTGGTCCATTTAATTCAGGTTTTTATTATCATTTGCTCAGAAATCAAGTCAGGCACTTGAGATTGAAAATAACTGGTGGTGCTGTCCCTTCTCCCAGCCCACTCATTCCCTGCAAATTACAGTCCTACCCAGTGCAAAGTGGGGGGGCGGGTAGTACAGGGAGACCCTAGCAAAATTCTCCACTGCAATATATATCTTCATATATTACTAGTATAAGTAAACATTTCTTAGTAACCAAATCATTAGAATGCCTAAGCATCCATGCTACATTAGTAATTTCTTGAACTGTCGTTTATTGTTAAAAGTAGTATCCCAGCAAGTTTAAACCCACGGGGGGTGGGGGGGGGCGGGGCAGAGACAGGACAGCAAGCTTGGGATCCTCTAATGCCGGAATGACAATGCTTGCCCCCAGGAGGAAGTTAGAAGCAAAACAGTGGAGGTCTGGGCTTTCCTGCCCTGGCTTCTTTGAAGACTGGCTTTTCTGAGCCACTCCCTAATCCCGAGTAGAGGAGTCTTGCCCCAGCATGAGAGGTGATGACTGACCGGGGCAGCCTCAGCAGACCCACTGCACACAGCTGTTTGTTGAACAGGCCCAGTTTAAAATACCTTGTAAACAGTGAGGCCCTGGCCTGGGGAGCACAGGTTGGCCTGGCAGAGGGCGGCATCCCGGAAGAGGCCTACATGTGCATCACCCCCAGTCCAGGTGCCCAGGTCAGCTCAATGTTGATAATCAACATCCCATGTGTAGGAGGCATTTTTCCAGATGTAGGAAATCAGAAAGAGATGGTGAAGGCAGGGAGATCGGGAGTCCAAGGGAGAGTGTCAGTCTGTGGTTTCCACGCTGCCGGGTGGCTTTATGACTTCTACTCCTGGGCTAGTTGAACATACGTGAAGGCAGGAGCACATGTGCCCAGCAGTCGACCCGAGCCACAGGGACATCAGGAACTTCCTCAGACTGCGAGTTGGGGCAGTGGCATGGCTGCTTGGAAAATGCTGAAACTGAGTTCAGAGGACCCCACAGAGTTCTTCTAGTTGGGGTTTTTTATGCTCAGCACAGATTAAGCATCTAGAACCAGCTTCTCTTTATACATCCCAGTTCCAAAGAAAGTTTCTTGTTCCTTTCATGAAGTGAAGTACAGTCCCGTGTAGAAGAGCATAGCAAATGGGGGAGGAATTTAGACCTTCTGATCTTCCCACATGTAATGATGCTTGATAACAGATTTAATTAAATCTTTTTATCAGCAGCTTTGCCTTTTCTTGGTCTGATTTTCTGAAAGTTTTATTTTAAAGATTAAATACCTATGGGTAAGGTAGTTGGGGGGGTTGTGGCTTCTGGTTTGAAAAGGCTTCAGAGCTTTGCCCATGCACAGAATTGCGCCTGTTTCATCTGGTTATAGTGCCACCTCCTGTTCACCGTGTCTTTTGGCAGCCACTGGTCACGGCTGTGAATAACTGGCACTGGCACGGGAGGCTCAGCCACACAGGAACGCTTTCCAGTTAGAAACAGCCAGAGTTTAGCTAATTGCTAGCTGCCCAGTAACTTCAGTTCCAGACATTAAAATTCAAACTGTCTCTTCTCAAGGGAAAAATCTGGGCAATTAAAACTGCCTGACTAAATCATAGCAGGAATCTAGAAAATTTAAATAAGGGACCAGGAAAAAGAATAAATATAAGAAAGAAAAAATCAAAATCCACAAACAACTATGAACCAGAGACAGTCTATGGGGGGCAGGGGGCAGGGAAAGGAGGGATTGGGGTCAAAATAATGGGGTTGCAATTGTATGGGGAATATAAAAATAAAATTTAAATTAAAAAAAACTGCCTTACCAAAAAAAAATGTTATTATTGCCTATCGAACACTAAAGTGTTAAAAAAAAAAAAAAAGTAGGTGTCCTCTGCATGGATTTTGGATTTGGCACAAACTATCAATATGTGCTATGGTTTGTATAAATAATTGACAGATAATTGCCTGCTTGGCTTGCAAAACGTGGCACACTGTGTAAGCAACAGAAGCAGAAATTCAGGTGCATCCCCCCACCTCGCTGCCCCCCAGAAAAATGCGCCTGCGGTGTTTTACTGGATGCAGAGCTGATAGCCCTGAAGTCGGCAAATTGGACTCGCCCGAGTCTGCCAAAAATAACTTAAATCAAGTGGTGTTTTTAACTTCCTCATTCTGATAGAACTTTTTCCAAAAAAGCTGGCTCCAAGGGAGAGAACTGAGGACTCGGGCTGGAAGTTTTTCTTTGACTGTCCCGGGTTCTGGGGCCGTGGCTGCAGCAGGGCCCGGCGCGTTTGGGGAACCCACCCTCCCCACCCCCCTCCCCCACCCACTCCCCACCCCCTCCCCACCCCCTCTCCCACCCCTCCCCCACCCCTCCCCCACCCCACCCCCCCCACCCCCCCTCCCCCACCCCCTCCCCCACCACCCTCCCCCACCCCCTCCCCCACCCACCGTCCCCCACCCCTCCCCCACCCACCCTCCCCCACTCACCCCACCCCTTCCACCTTACCCTCCCCCACCCTCCCCCGCCCCGCACCCCCACCCTCCCCCACCCTCCCCCGCCCCGCACCCCCCCCTCCCCACCCCCCACCCCGCACCCCCCCACCCCCCCCCCACCCTCCCCCCCACCCCCCCCCACCCTCCCCACCCCCATCTGCCCACCCCACACCCCCCACCCCGGCTCACCGCGTCTCTTGTCTCGCAGGGACCCGCTGCGGATCCAGCAGCTGCAGCAGCAGATCCGCCTGGAGCAGGAGGCCGCGCCGCCCTCGCCGCCCTTCCCGCCGCCGCCGCCCGAGCTGGCGCCGGGCCCGGGCCCCGGAGCGCGCTGGCCCCCGCGCGGCGCCCGCCATGCAGTCGTCCGGCTCCTTCAACTACGCGCGCCCCAAGCAGTTCATCGCGGCGCAGAACCTGGGCCCCGCCTCGGGCCCCGCCACGCCCGCCTCCAGCCCCGGCTCGTCGGCCTGCCCTCGCCGCTGGCGCCCGCGCCCCGGCCGTTCGGCCGCGCCGCCCCGCCGCCCTTCGGGCCCGCCCCGGGCGCCGCCGAGCCCGAGGCCCCGTGGGGCCCGCCCGCGCCCTCGCCGCCCCCGCCGCCCGGGCCCGCCGCCGGCCCCGCGCCCGACGCCTTCCCGCCGCCGCCCCCGCCGCTGCCCGGCGCCGCCCGCTTCGGGCCCGGCCCGGCCCAGACGCCCGCGGCCTTCCTCAGCGCCCTGCTGCCCGCGCAGGGCCCGCCGCCCGCCGTCAACGCGCTCGGCCTGCCCAAGGGCGTCGCCCCCGCGTGAGTAGCGCCCCCGCCCGCGCCCACCCGCACCCCCAGGCCCGCCCGCACCCCCAGGCCCCCAGACCCCGGAGCCAGGCACGCGCTCCCCGCCAGCCCGCGCGCCCCCTCGCGCCCCCAGAGCCCGGCCCGCGAGACCCGGAGCCACCGCAGGCCGCGCGGCGGTGCCGGCAGGGCCTCCCCAGCTCTCAGGGAGCCCGCGGCCACCGGGCGCCTCGCCTCACCCCTGGCCGAGGTGTGCCCTCGCCCTCCGAGGACTCCTGGGCTGCCCTGCCCGGGGTCCCAGAAACCAAACTGATGGTTGACTCCATGTCCGGCTAACGCTGCATCCACGCCCTCCGCACATGACACGCTCAGTGCTGCTCGGCTCCTGAGGGAGCCCTCAGGCTCCACTCCACCCGCGCTCACCGCGGAGCCCGCCGCACACCCCCTGGCGGGCCGGGAGGAACACAGGGCAGTGTCTTCACGAGGTTGAAGCCGGGAGGGCCTGCGCGGCCTGCTGGGGGCAGCCCCGTGCCTGCCCGTCTCCTCCAGGTGTTGCACATGGCTCCTGTCTTGCCCGTGTTGCACCCTACCTAACACTGGTCTCTCCCTGTCTCGAGGATCATGCGGCAGCCCTCCACAGTCCTCCCACTCGGGGACAAAATCTCTGAGGACAAATGACCTAGACAGTGTACACTAAGGTCGCAAGAGAACTTAGCGTCCAGGCATTTGGCGTGTTTGCTGAAGCATGGTGTGAAGGCAGGACTGGACACGGGGCAGGTTTCCTGATCCCATGCAGACCGGGTAAAGGAGGAGTCAGAGTCCTCAGTGGTTTTTTGCAGGTCTTTTATTGGGGTTCACCAGGCATATGGCAGGCAGGGGTGCTGGGGGACCGGGAGGCTGGCAGGCCTCCCAGCCCCCAGCAAATCCTCACTCTCTCTGGGCTCTCTGGCCTTCTCTGCTTCTGCTTCGGGCTTCTTCTCTTTCCGCTTCTGCTGCTGCTGGCGTCCCCGTGACGCCGCCCTTAAAAAGCCCAGTCTCAGCCCAGGTGAATCCCATCTACCTCGGCCCACACCCTACTCCAGGTGCCCACCATCAGGCATGCACTCAGGACTGCAAGGATCCATCATCTATCCTGATGGTGGGAGGGCAGGAAAGCCTGACATTTTTCCTTACCCTACACATGGTGACTTGAGGTAAGCAGCCTGGGGGTCTTAGGGACCACCTTTTGCTCAGTTCCTGGGATGCACCTTAGTTCCCGGTAGGAATCTTGCTTCACGTTAGACCATTTACCACCGTGAGGCAGAATGGACCTGCAGGGGTCCCATGACTGTTGACCCTTTACTTGCTCCTTGGTGTGCAGCTGTACTACTCCCTCTTGGTATGTAGCCACATCATATCTCACCATGTACAGCTGCCAATGCAAACCCACCCAGAACCTTGTAGAAACTGAAAGCGTATATAAGCCCCCGACTTCCTGCAAACTGGGCTCAGCCTTTGGATGCGAATCCGCTGAGTCAGCACCGGTGCTGCTGTAAACCTGCTTCTTGTTAGCCCCGGTGTCTAAGTTTCCCGCCTGCCGTGTAGCAGAGTGAGTAAAAGCTTGCACCTGCTCGTTTTACTGGAGTTCACAGTAAGTAAGTGCTGCAGGGGCAAGCCAGTTCCCATATCTCAACTCGTCCTGTTGAAAACCTACTTCAGAGTTTACCAGAATTGCAATATGGCTCAAAGAGAAAAGAAGGAAACTCTGCTAAGGAATAAGACCTTACAGTTCGGTTGTTTCCATTCCTGTGTAAGTTTTCCACTGACTGGATGTGTACACGCCGCCTCAGAGATGAGAGATGCTGTGTTGGTCCTTGGCCTGCTGTGTCCGGGTGCTTCCATTAGCACCTTGACCCTTCACTCGCTCCTTGGTATGCAGCCACGTCATCGCTCAGATGTCTTGTTTAGCAACAGATGTCTTGTTTCTAAATGTTGATCACTTGGGTTGTTTGAAATCTGGCTGTTTCTCAAATCCTCATTGGAAAAGCGCAGTCAAATGAGTAGGTGAATAAATAAGTCAAAGGAAGGTGGGGAACTGCAGGGTAATGAAGCGGTCATGTGCTTCTACTGAGCTGTCAGCCAGCTGGTCTGTGGACAACCTGCCTTTCTTCTCTACTTTTGTTTGAGTTTGCGGCTGCAAGGACCTGTACTCTCTTGCTAAAAGGAAGCTGTTAGACTGAAAACCTGGGGTTTTATTTTGTCCTCTTTTACTATGAAATGCTGCCAAATCTTCTAGGAAGATGATTAATGTATTGGTATTATTTCCTCTATAGAATTCCACCAAAGATTAGTCTGACCAAGGTGTTGGAGTGCAAAGGGAGTCATCCCATACCCCTCTGGGTTCTTCTAGGCCGGAAAATAATCAAACACATCAGAGGGATTAATAAGAGAAAAAGCCAACAAGTTTAATAACATGTAGCCCTCCTATATATGGGGGAGACACCCCCCCCCCCGGGCATGGCTGAGTGACTCCTGTATGACCGTCCAACTTAAATAGCCTAGCGACACTGGCATAAGAGAGAGAAGATTTGGTCAGGAGTCTATCCAGAAAGGCACAGCAGACAAAGGCATGCAGATTTAAGTTCTGCCTTTTCCAGGAAAAGAGATAAGATTAGTTCTTCCTGGGAGAGGGTCTTAGAGAAGTTAACATACAAATATGAAAAGCAACTTTCCCCCAGCCTTCAGAGCCCCTCCCAAGAAATAAACTTCTGGCCAAAAATGCATAATTTGGGGTAGCAAGCAGACTTCCGTTCCCCTACGGCAGTCACACCTTTCATCATCTTAGTTAGAAATAGTGGCTTATTCTCATCTTTGACTTTGACATTCTCTTAAGAGATAAGCTGTTACGAACTTAAGTAGTAGAAGTATCTGCTCTTTATTCACATCTGTCACAAACCCTCATTTTATGGAGTCAAAATATTTTGTGTTATCCCAGAAACCCAGTAAAAGCTCCTGCCATCTCTTAAAAATTAATGGGGAAATCATGCTGATTTTGTGGCTGTGGAAAAACTAAACCTAAGGGCTGTCAGGCGCTCTGATACAAAGTGGCACTACCAGGCTGCAGATTTGCAGCTCAGTGCCAGCCCAATGAACGATTATTGTTCGGGTACCCTTCTGTCTTCCAAGGAATTATCCTATGACTAAGTCACACAGACTTAAAGAATGAATTCTTTTGGTTTGATACATGTAATTTTTGAAACATTTTCCCCCTCTGGCATATTTTTGGATCCCTCTTTTGTATTCCGATTAAAAACAAAAATGTAGCTATTTATCCATCACAATAATCCAAATAATTTGCCGAAGCTTGAATGTCTTTCAGGACTACCATGACTAATTGGTGTCCTTGAACTTGAAGGAATTGCCAAACTATTGTCAAATGAATCTTTTTAAATTACTTTCACTTATACTTCATTGGGAACATGAGATTATGACAGCAGATTCAGTTTTACTGCTGTTGTTTCTCTGGCTGGCTGGGTTTGCCGTGTTTGTCAGGTGCCAGCGAACAGATCCATTACACATGACTCCAACAGAACTACCTTCGTTTTTCTCCCCTGCTTTGTTTTACCAAAATCTTATCGGAATTTCAGATTCCTCAGTGTTCTTTATCGGCTGCATGCTAGCTGTTTCATTGTGTGTGTGTGTGTGTGTGTGTGTAGCACTGCCCTTCCATCTGGAGAGTAGGCTGGTAGCGTACTTAGTTTCTGAAGAGTCTTGGAGAGAAGGCTCTGCTTCTCAGGCCATGAGTGCCAGAGATAAACCACAGTGAGGAAGGCAAAAGACAGCGCCTCTCACTGACTCCAGCCCGTGTTTGGTTGTTGATTGACTGTGGGCTGGGAACTTCTGCATATCCGATTCCTCCAGAGCCTTTCTTTTCTCAGGTGGCTGCATTTTCCCCTAAGGTTACTGGGGTCACTGACAGAAAACATCCCCCTTCTCAAAGCTGTTGACGGAAACCAATGTTAAGGACTGAATGTGTCTGATGGAGGCAGTGAGAATAGGCCTCAGAGGAGACCTGGTTGCACTTTTATGAAATGAATAGAAAGTTTCTGCTCCCCTCACCACCACCGGGCTAGTTTCCCAGCTTCCATTGCTTGAAGGAACCTTGTTCCTCTACACATGAATAAGCCCAAAGGGGCTTGGGGCCACCCCTGGGGATGGTGCAGCATTTCTCACTTAGCACATCAGCTCCAGCCTGGAGAACCAGCCCCACTTCATTTTCTTGGAACTGTCCTCAGGGAGTGCCACACAGCCACAGTGTGACAGTGTCTTGTGCTTCATTGTCTCTTTCGTGTAAGTAGGGCTTGGCTTTGACTGCCGCCCGTGTCTGTCAAAAGAAGAAGATGTGTCACTAAGAGCTTTTATACCTGTGTGTTAATGAGAGCTTCTAGGCTGTGGTCAGCTACTCCATGCTCAGCTCGCTACAGACATGTCATTGTCCCTCTCCCCCGTGGCGTGTAAGGGACAGGCAGGCCGGACCTTGTCATCTGTTGTTAAGGCGCGCAGTCCCGAGCAGGGAATCCTGGGGTAGAGAACAGTGTGACTTAGTCTTGATCTGTGGCCAGGTCGGCCTCTCATAAATCTGATGTCTGTTAAATCTTCATAAAAGAAAACTGCTGCAGACCAATGAAATGAAACCCCCAGGTCATAAGGAAAAGATTGCAACAGATTTTAGTTGTATTTTAGTTTTTAAAACAAGTTAGTGGTTAGAGTGTAACCAGCAGGAAAGCACCCAGAAGACAAAGCGACGTGGGACTTTGCACACTCCCGCATTGGCTTCCTCTTCTGGCAGGAAGCAGGTGGGCGGGACCCGTGTCCTTCCCCATTATGGGCAGAGGTCTGAAGGGATTCCAGGTCTTCCCAGGTCTTGTCCCCGCACACTCTACAGTCTGTCATGGAGGAGTCACAGAGAGTTGCCTCCAGGCCTGGGCGAGAGTATCTTAGTAGGCCGCCAGGGTCTGCGTGACTGGGTGACGATT